TTTTTATTTTTTTATTTTTATTTTTATTTTTATTTTTTTAAAAAAATTTTTTTTAATTTTTTTTTTTTTTTATTTTAAAATTTTTTATCACACACATTATCTTAACTTGTTTTTTATATATTATTATATTATTTTTTCATTTTTTTCCAATCATTTTTTTATATTATTTATTAAAATTTAAACATTATCAATATTAATATTTTAATATAATAATTGTTGTTGTATAGTCTTTTGAAAAAAAAAATTCTTTTAAAATTTTTTTTTCCCATCCTTATTTATATAAACCAAAATAACTTAATATAAATATAGTTGTATTATTAAAGAAAATTATTGTAATTTATAAAAAAACACAAACACAGATATACAGACAGATAAATAGATAAAAAAAAAAGAAATGTTTAATAAGATTTTGTAAATATTCAATTTAATTTTAATTCTCAAATATCCACAAAATAATAATAATAATAATAATAATAATAATAATAATAATAATAATAATAATAATAATAATAATAATAATATTAATAATAATAATAAAAATATAATAATATTAGAAATACGAATTTCTGAATAAATTATTAATCACCTTAATTTTGCAGTAGTAGCGACAAAAACAAAACATTCAAACCAAAAAAGGGTTTTAGCAAAGGGACAAAAAGACACGATTTACATAAACATGCCAAAGCAACACTTGGTTCAGGTAATTTAAGACTTGCTGTTTCACTCCCAGAAAGAGAAGATTTAAATGAATGGCTTGCAGTTAATAGTAAGTTTACAAAGTGACAATACATAGCAATAATAATAATAATAATAGCAATAGCAGCACAGGGTATTAAATGTAGAGTTGGGATATAAATACAGTATTTTTAAAAAAAAGATTGGATATGTGGAATCATCATAGCACCATTACAATGTTTATACAAAAATCAAAAGAGAAATTAATGGATAAATATACTAATTATTATTTTTATTTTTAATTTTAGCTGTTGACTTTTTCAATCAAATAAATTTACTTTATGGATCAATTACAGAATTTTGTACACCAAAAACATGTGAGGTTATGTCAGCAGGACCAAAATATGAATACTTATGGGCTGATGGTGAATCTGTCAAAAAACCAATTAAAGTATCCGCACCAGACTATGTAGAATATTTAATGACATGGGTACAAGGTATTCTTGATGACGAAAATATTTTCCCATCTCGTGTCGACGTACAATTCCCTAAAAATTTCCAATCAATCGTTAAAAATATCTTTAAGAGATTATTTAGAGTTTATGGTCATATTTACTATTCCCATTTCACAAAGATTGTTTCATTAGGCGAAGAAGCTCATCTCAATACATGCTTTAAACACTTTTATTTCTTCATTGTAGAATTTAATTTGGTCGATAAAAAAGAAATGCTTCCACTTCAAGATCTTATTGATAATTTAACTAAAAGCAGCACATAATAGCAATAGTAACATTCATTTTCATAATTTAATATTAAAAAAAAACTAAAATAATAACAAAAAAAAAAAAAAAAAAAGAAAAATTAAAATATCAAGCTCTTTTATTTTTTTATTAAATTTTTAAATAATAATCTATTTCTCTTTATTTTATTTTTATTTTTTAACAATCAGTTATTCACATAATCAAAATCAAAATCAAAAAAAAAGATATTATTAAAAAAATTTTAAAGAAAAATAGAAAAAAATAAAAAATAAAAAATAAAAAACCAATTTTAAAATTGATTAAAAAAAAATTTACCCTTCTTTTTCATAATTGTATAATAAGTAAGTGAATCTCTTTATTTTATTTAATCATATTTTATTTTTATTTGTTATTATATCAATTACACACTCGACCACCACCACATTTAAAATTTAGAATTATGGTAATAATTTTGTAATATTTTGATGATTTGGTTAAGATTTTAAAAAAAAATAATAATTAAATCTATAGTTTATAATTATATAAATAAGGTTAAGTTGAGTTGTGTTATCATATATGATAGCAGTACCTAAAAAAGAAAGAAAGTAATTAAAAAATAAATAAAAAAAGATCACAAAAAATAAAAAATTATTGAAAAACCTGGGTTTATAAAGCATGGTTTTTTAAATATTTTTAAAAATAATTATTTTCTTTATTAAATTTAAATTTGATTGTTGTGGGAGTGTGTGCATAAGTTAATTTTAACACAGGTTATAATTATAACCTTATTTAAAAATACTATTGTCTAAAAATTAATTTTTATCTTTTTTTTGTGTTTTTTATTTTTTTTTTATTTTTATTTTTTTATTTTTTATATTAAAAAATATAGATAATGTTATTGATGGGATTAATTTTAATTTTATTTTTATTATTCCTAAATATGGAAATAAATAATGGTTTGTAAAATAATTAATTTCTTTTTTGTATAATTATTTTTTTTAATTAAATTTTTATTTTATTAAAAATTTTTATTTTTTTTTGTTTCGAAATAAGAAAAAGTATAAATAGAAGGTTTAATTTTTTAAAATAAAATACAAGTTAAAAGGACAACTTTGCATTTAATAATTTATAGAAAATGACAATTGTTAATAGTATTAAAAGTATAATTTATAATTTGGGATTTAATAAAAAGTGATTTGTTGCTTATTTTTTTAATTTTTAATTTTTTTATAGATATAACATCCTTTGAAAACTCTTCAAAGAAAGGTCCCACAATGGAAGGCCTCCATTCATCTATTATAAATTTTGGAAAAAATATATTAACACAAACAAATTTTTGTAATTCTGGTTGGAATACATCTCCTTTTGGGTTCCATAAAAATAATTGTTATCATGGTAATGAATATTAGAAGGTTTAAGTTTAATAAATAAATATAAATAGTTAAAAAATTAAATAAAAAATAAAATATTATGTACAAAAAAGATTTAGTTTTATTTGCTTTTTTAAATGTTGCCCCATTAATATTCTATTTTTCACCCACCAAAATTAAATTTTTTTTTTTTGATTTTACAGTTTCTATATTTTGTGGGAGTTGTATGATTATTTTATGTTGTCAATTAAATTTTTTATCCAATTTGGGTTTATAATTTCAATTTGGTTTAGTTTTTTAATTGAGTTAATTTTGTTATTAATGAATGGGATTCTAGATTGATCAGATTGGTCTATGACAACATGGGTCACTGTATCATTTAATTGCAATGAAACTGTACCACCATAAAACTCAATATATAGGCTTGATAGTTCTAAATTATTATTTTCAATAAGGGTTGAAGGTTCTCCTATAACTTGATATCTATCTAAATAAAATACATTTGGTTTAAACAGCGTCCACCAGCAATTTTTTGAAAAATATTTTAATTCAATAATTGATTTGTCTATGCTAAATTGTTCATTATTTAATAACTTTTGATTTTTATTACCTTTTATTATTTGTTTATTATTATTGATATTGGTACTATTACTATGATTGCAATTTTCTTTATCGACTTGATTAAAACAATCTTTTAGTTCACTAAAATTTGTTTCGTTAAAATAAGAGTCGCCAAAAGGATCAGATTCTAATAAAAATTTCTTTTTTGTGGATTCTGTAGTAAATATCATATATTTTGGACCTAATGGTATTAATTTCTGTTCATTGTAGCAATCTACGACCCATTGAAATAATACTATATCAAAGAAACCAGATGAAATTAAATTTTGAATTTTAACCACTTCTTTTGATCCTATTACATAGTGTGTATTGTTTTTTGAAGGATTTTGAACTTTTGTACCACCCAATTCCACTATCATAATTTCTAATTTCGATTTTGTATATTGTTGGTTACCCTTTATAACACAAAACTCGAGACCTTGAAATATATTTTGGATTGGAACAATATTTGAAGTGTCGGTGTCTTGAAATATTGATAATACCTTTAATTTTCCTGGACCAGATCCTGCTTCACTAATACCATTAATTTCTAATTTCCTTTTCTTTTGAGTCGTTGTTTTGATACTATTATTATTTAATAAGGTTTTAAATTTAAAGTCATTATTTTGAAAGTTTTTATAAAGTTCTAAAATATCTGAAAAAGTTGAACAATCTTGCCATGATTTATCGTCACGTATTTTTAAAACTCTAGGGAATCTTAAAGTATAGCCTGCTTTATATTTTTCAGTTGGATTTAATTGGGCCGCTTTTATTTGGACTACCTTTGAAAACTTTCTTGGATCAATCCATACGTCGGGTTTTTCTTTAAATGGTTCCGCTAATTGAATACAGGATGGTGGTTTATTTGTATTAAATGGGCTCCAATGGGGATCCAGCTCCTTTTGAAGTATTTTTAGTTGCTCGTCAGTATAACCAGAGCCAACTTTGCAAAAAGAATAAAATACAACTTTTTCTTGAAGAGACTCTTCGTCCACTACATCATCTGGACAGTATGCTACACCCAACATGAAATGAGAAATTGTGCCGCCTCTTCTATTTATACCACTTCCATAATAGCCACCAATAATAACAAGATCAAAATCATCACCCATACCATCTAAATACTCTGGTTTGATTTTAATCCATTTTTCTTTTCTTTCTGCTGGTACATAGAACGAGTTTAAATCTTTAAGCATTAAACCCTCCTCTCTATTCATAATTGCTGCATCTAATTGACCCAATACTTCTTGTACTGTTGATACTGGAGTTTGTTCACTGATTTCGAATTGTTTATCTTTTACATTAATACATCTCTTTAAAAGCATTGTACGTTGGGCTAATGGCAGGGGCATGACACTTTTATCTTTAACAAAGAGAATATCAAAAGCAATATAGCATAGCTGTTTGCCATAATTTGCGCCCAATGGGTCTCCACTACCTGAAATACCATCTTTGTTTAAAGCTAATGTTTTAAGTTTACCAAAATCCTCAAATCTTTGTGTAACTGTATCCCATACGATTAATTCACCATCTAGTATACACTTATCTGCTAGAACACATTCTTTAACAATCGGTAATAACAGTGACCCATAGATAAACGTTGTATCATTTGTATTTCTTGAATAGAATCTAATATCATTGCCATCTTTGTGAATTTGGGTTCTTTCCCCATCATATTTTTTTTCGATTATATATGATGTAGTGGACGGGCCAAGACCGTTGCTAGATGGAACATGATAGGGGTTATTGTCTAAAATCGAAAACAAATAATCTATAGGCTTTCTATCAGCTAGCATTGGTCTAATTGCATTGAATGTTTCAATTTTTAAATTATGAATATCTAATACGGTTGCATTTGAGGTTACTGGTTTTTGTTCATCCTTTAATTTCTTTTGTTCTTCAGGAGACATATAAAATAAATTGCTGCATACTAGTCTTAAATTTGAAGTGATACTAAGATGGTCCATGGCTGATGGATGAAAAAATTTTAGTGCTGTCTTTTCATTTAAACCCATTTTCATTTCTTTTAAAATTAATCTAACAAACCACTTTTGTTCCTGTGCAGTACTTGAACGTAATACTTTTTTCAATATTAATGCCTTTGATTTATTGTCGTCAACTTGATTTAGTCTATCAAGAGCTTCATTAATATCACCCATTGACAAAATTCCTTTTTCTAGACATCTGTTCTTTAAAGATAGGTATATGGCACTTCCAAAATCACCACCAATTTCATCAGCATTGGTCGATTTCCTCCAGTTTAATAATCTTGTTGCATCTTGACTCTCTACAGATATATTTAAAAGTTCTACATAAAGCCTTGCTAGAGTCTTTTCTTTAATACCATAAGTATTTCTATCACGGTCCATATGAGGTAACAGTAATCTTAACAATTGAAAATAATTATTTGGTTCCTCTTTATACTTTGAGAAAAATATTGATAGATATTTCTTTTTATTACTAATTTTGGTATCGTTGATAATCTTGTCTAATAAATTACAAAATGTAGTGAATGGTACTGTTTTTTGATATTTATAGTCATTGATTTGATTTTGATTTTGATTTCTAACATTAATTTTATTATCTTTAAATGCTTTAATAATATCATTATCATCTATATCTTTTTTAGAATTCTTAATCGGTGAATTTATTTTTTGCTGTTGTTGTTGTTGTTGCAGTTGTTGTTGTTGAGGTGTAGATATTATTGGTTGTTGATCACTGATATTGTTATTATTGTAATTGTTATTTATAAAAGCATTATATAGATTGTTTTTACTATTATCATTTATATTTTGTGTATTATTTTTTGTTTCTTCATTTTCTTCTTCATCTTCGCTAAGAAAAAGTGATAATCTATCCATTAGCGCCAAAATTAAAAGAAATTTTTTTTTTTTAAATTAATATTTTTAAAAAAAAAAATTTTATTTATTTTTTTTTTTATTTATTTTTTATTGGTAATTTAGATATTCTTTTAAAAATCATTTTATATTTCTGTGACAATAAAATAATAAATCTTTTGTGGTGTATAAAAAAATACATTCACACATGTGCCAATTTTTTTAATGATTAAAGATTAGACTGCCTCAAGATTCTAATAAATAAAAAACATTTAAAGGTTATCTAAAAAGTATTTATTTTAAATTATTTTTAAATTAAAGTTGAAATTAAGAAACATAAAACTAAACCAATTGAAAAGTTTAATTTTAATGATGAATTGACACTTTCACTTTCATCGACGGATGAGTCATCTACTGATGAATGTTTGCTGCTATCTGATGGTGATGATGATGATGATGATGATGATGAAGGAACTTCGAATGGTGGAAGAACATTTTGAATGGTAGCAGTGCCGCCATATATTTGGCCATCAATAATTAAAATAAAATTAACAACACCTGTGTCTTTTGTAGTTGGATATTTAAAAGTAAGAGAGTCGGCAGTGAGTGATACGATCGAGCATGAAACGTCACCAATTAATAATTGAACTTTTGAGATGTCGGCTTTAACAAATTCACCTTGAACGGTAACAGTTGAACCATTGTTGGTAACAATAATATTTTCAGTTGTAACAATAATGTTTTTAGATTTAAATGTAAAAGTAGAAACATTTGAAGTTTGACCACCAATCTTTACACTAATTGTAAATGTTTGGCCCTCGGCAATGGTAGGTTCACTGTTATCAAAGACTAAATGTGGTGCACCTGTTAAATATGCTGGTAAACTGTATAAAACATTAGAAATGTTGGCTTGGTTGTCGGTGCTTGTATAGTCAAAACCGGATCCAATGAAAAAGATGGATTGATTTTGGGGAATATAAAGGTATGATGAGATAGATGGTGCAGCATAGTGATATTTAATGGTTAATGTTTGATGATTAAAGAATGTTATATCTACTTGTTTGTTATCTTCACGATTACCACCAAAGAATGGTTGGGTGAAGATTTTAATTCTATTGTTAAGAATATCAAAGCCACTGTTAATAGTATCTCCAGTGATTGTAACATCAAAACCTAAATCATGACCGGTAATGTAAATAATATCACCAGCGGTTTCAACAGAGTAAATGCTGTTGTTTGGTTGATCAATTTTGAAATTTGCTTTATGAATTATTAAATATAAAAAATTTAAATTATTTTTTATAAATTAAAAAAATTATTAATATCTTAAAATTATAAATATTAAAACCAAATTTTATGGTATGATATACTTACGACATGATGCTGGAGATATTATAGTAAAGTCTGGAAATTGATTTGGAATAATGTTGTTTCTGATTAAGATATCAGTGGTACAAACATAACATGATGGTGGTTGTGTAAATAAGTTAGATTTGATGTTAACACCTGAAAATGGTACTTTACATAATTCATCTGGGAGGGCACCTGATAACTACAGTTTTTTAATAGAGTAAATATATGTTTAATATTAAATAATAATAAATAATAATAAAAATGAACAATGCCTACTTTAGTACCAGCAATATCAACAGAAACGAGTCTATTGAAATCAAAACCATTGAATGTAGGTTCTTGAATTGGCTCGATGTTAGTTAATTGAATTTTATTACAATTTCTTAAATCAATATAATCGATTCTTGTATTGACATAGGCTATATCGCTACAAATAATAAATTAAAATAGTTAATAAATAATATAATAATTTTTTTATTAAAATACACTAATAAATACATACCAATCAGTATCTTCTGGTAATCTAATGCAATCTGAACAATTTTTGTAAGTGATTTGACTGTTTGCTACAATGCTAAAAGAAGTAAACGATAAATTAATATAAGTTTTATAAAACTTTAATGAAATTTAATTTAATTAGGTTTAATACAAACAATTGTAATTTTCCTTTTTGATTTTGACTTAAATCTAATACTTGACCTTGATTGAAAACAAAATTATCACCATAAACAGAGAAAAAATGTAATTTTGTGAGTTTTGAAAAGTCTGGGAAATAAATTGGTTTGGTAAGTGTAGTGGTAAAGTTTTCTGAAAATTGGAAGCTTAAAGTTGTAAGACTTTCGAAACTAAATGAACCCATATAGCTTGCTGGAACAATATTACCATTGTATGTTGTTTCTGACCAATAGATAATCATTGAAGTAATACTTGGGAAGATAGTATCGAGTGATGGAAAACCACTTGGTGGGAGTGGGAATTTAATGTCGTAAAGATTTGAGTTTGTGCTGAAAATACCACTTAAAGAAAAATCAATAACGTTAAAAACTCTAAGAGTTGTAACTTTTGAAGAAACCCATTTAGCATAAAAGACACCTTTAAAGTTTTGAAAATCGATTGTTGTTAAAGTACTTGGTAAATTAACATTGGCACTTTCTATAAGGGTATAAGTTTGGCTTTTTTTTTTTTTATTTATTTTGTAAAATAATTAGTATTTATTTAATAATAAAAGTTTTTTATTTCTAAAGTACATACATGGTTTTTAAGCTGTTTAAACCAGAGATTTGAGTTAAAATATTAGAGTGTCCAAATGCATATTTGCCTAATTTTAATATTTCAAGGTGAGAAAATACACTAAAATCAACATCTTCTAAACTAAATGCCCAATTTGGGAAGCTGCTGAGATCAATATTAATGATATATCCTTTATTACTATCGCAACCAAATTGATAACATGGGTCGTAGCTAGGACCCTGGGCTATTTTCATTAAATCCATTAATTTATTTGCTTGAACTATTTCATTTGGATCAACCAAAGCGGCATTACCAATTTGAAAAATTGATACAATAAAAATACAAAATAATGAAAAATAATTTATTTTATTCATTTCTTTAAACAAATATTTATTATGATTAAAACAATATTTTTTTTGATGGAAAGAAAAAAAAAAAAAAATTTATTTAAAAAAAAAAAAATAAAAAATTTTGGTCTAAAATGAAAAAAAAATCTTGATATTTGTTTTTTTTTCGTATTCAAAAAACCATGGGAAAATTGTTTTATTTATTTAGGTTTTAAAGGGGATATTATTTTTTTGGAGAGTTTTTTATATTGATAGGCATTAGTTTTAAATAAAAAAATTTAGAAAATAAAATAAAATAAAAATAACTTATTTTTTTAAAAAAAAAAAATGGTGTGATGTGTTTGATGGGTATCAATTATTTGTGATAGTTGATTCCATTTGTTTATAATAAAAAATTGTGTTTTTGGTGAATTTTTATATTTTTTTAATTAATTTTTTTTTTTGATTTAATTTTAAAAATAATTATTTGAATTTTTTAAATTTAAAAACTATTAAAAATATCCCAATAGAAAAAACTATTCTTTTAATAGAAACCTAACAAATAAAATCTATTTGATAAATATTAAAATTATTTTTATTTTTAGTTATACAATTTATTAAATCAATTTTATTACTTTATTATAAAACACTTAAAAAATAAAAAAAATGCTTTTATAATATTAATTTCTGTTTTATTAATTTTTAAAAATGTGTTTATTTGTTAAAGATTAGGGGCTTTTAACTATAAATATTTTGTTTTTTTATGAAAAATGTAATAAAAATTTATTTTTTTTTTTATTTTTTTTATTTTATTTTTTTTATTTTTTTTTTATTAATATAAAATAATTTATTAGTTGTATAATTATAAATATAATAATAATAATAATGGATAATATGCATTCAAATGATTTATTAAAAAATTTGAGTTCAGATGAACCATACAAACCATATATTAATAAAAGAAAAAAGGAATATATTGAAAATGAAAAAAAAGCTAAACTCGCAATGCTTGATAATCAAAATCAAGTATCTTATTCTTCTACTCAACCAAATCAAACATTTGATAGTATTCATAATGATAAAGACAAATCTATCCCATTTCAAAATTCAATAGAAAACAATAATTGGTACAATCCTTCCTCTCCATCATCTCAATCACCAAAAGAAACAATAAATTGGTTTGATGGACCCTTATCAAATGAATTAATGCCACGACAAAACATCCATTCGAATTCAACTCAATTAAATGAAACAAATAATAAAACAACAAATAATAATTATAAAAAAAACAATTCATTTTATAGAAATAATAAAAACCATAAAGATTTAAATAGTGATGAAATTTCTGACTTTAATAAATTAAAATATAAAGATTAATTAGTAAATTTTTAAAATAATATAGAAATAAATAATTTAGAATTTTTTTCTTTTTTGGATAGAACCAAACTAAAATTTATCTTTTTTTTTTTTTCATTTATTTTTCATATTTATTTTTTTTATTTATAAATTAAAAAATTTTCAAATTAAAATTTTTATCTTTTTTTTTTATTTTTTGTTTTTATAATTTTTTATATTTTTTTTTTTTTTTTTTTTCAAAATTAATAACATCATATAAAATGGCAACCAATCAACCATACAGAAATAAAATAGAAACTATGAGTGCCCAAGTAGTTGATAGTAATCCTTATTCAAGGTTAATGGCACTAAAAAAAATGGGTATAGTTAATAATTACGAGGTATAATACAATGATCATATAAAGCCATAATATAATTATACTAAATTAATAATATTTATTTATAGGAAATTAGAAATTACACAGTTATGATAATTGGGCTTGGAGGTATTGGTAGTGTTGTAGCAGAAATGTTAACAAGATGTGGTATTGGTAAATTAATATTGATAGATTATGATACTGTAGAGATTGCAAATATGAATCGTTTATTTTTTAGACCAGAACAAGCAGGAAAAACTAAAACAGCAGCAGCAAAAGAAACATTAGAGTTAATTAACCCAGATGTAGAGTTTGAAACTTACAATTACAATATCACTACAATGGATAACTTTGAACATTTTAAAGAGAGAATAGAAAAAGGTGGTTTACAAAAAGACACTTCAGTATCACTAGTTTTAGGATGTGTGGATAACTTTGAGGCACGTACAGCAATCAATCAAGCATGTCTAGAACTATCAAAGTGTTGGATGGAGTCTGGAGTATCAGAAAATGCTATTTCAGGACACATTCAATTTATTAAACCAGGTGAAACTGCATGCTTTCAATGTGTGCCTCCATTGATCGTGGCAAGTGGTATTGACGAACGTACCTTAAAGCGTGAAGGCGTATGCGCTGCATCATTACCAACAACTATGGGTATTGTCGCTGGAATGTTAACTCAAAACACTCTAAAGCATTTATTAGGTTTTGGCGAAGTCTCTTCATTATTGGGCTATAATGCTTTACTAGATTACTTCCCAAAGGATACCATCAGACCAAACCCAGAATGTACAAATCAATATTGCATCAAGCTTCAATTATCTTACAAAGAATATTTAAAAAACAACCCTACACCAGTAACACCAACACCAATAGTCGAACAAATCAAACCATCAACTGAAAATGAATGGGGTATTGAATTAGTAGAAGATGAAAATATAGATATCAATAAATTAAATGAAAATATTTTGAACAATAATAATAAACCTTCAGGTGACTCCTCATTCGAATTCTCATATGACAAAAAACCAACTGTACAGATCAATAACGAAAATACCGTCAAAGTAGACACAAATACAAACCTTAATGATTTAATGAACCAATTAAAAAATTTAAAATAAATGTATACATTGCCAAAGTGGATTAATTTATTTTTTTTTTATTTTTTAACTAATCAAAAAAAAAAATATCTTTTAATTTTTTTTAAAACAATGCATATAAATTTTTTAATTTTTTAATTTTTTTAATTAATCTTTATGCTACGTGGTCAAAATGAACAATTATTTCTTATTGATCTTAGGAATATGTTTCCTATTTTTTTACGTTACTTAAGTTTTCTTTAAAATATCAGAATGTCTAAAAATACATCTCAAAGATTTCATTGTAAACAAATAAAAAAAAAATTAAAAAATTAAAAAAAATTAAAAAAAAAAAAAATTAAAAAATAACGAATTTTACTGTTTTTCCATCATAAACAACACTCATATAATCAGTTTTCAAATAATAAAAAACAAAAAAATAAAAAAATAAAAAATAAATTGAAAAAAAAAAAAAACATTAGTTTTCAAAACAAACTTTTTTTATACATATTATATACACATAAAATAATTATAATTCATAAAAAAAGATAATTATTTATTTTAAAATTTTTTTTTAAATTTTATTAAAATTTTTTTTTTTTTCATTTATTATTATTGTTTTTGTGTGGGGTGTATACTGCAAAAGAAATAGTGTTTTTTTTAATAAATATAAATTTTATTAATTTGTAAAAATAATAATAATAATATAATAAAATTCATATTTTATAATAACCATCGTGAAGTTTAAAGATGTTTTCACAATTTAAAAATAAAATCAAAGGTATTTATAAATATAAATTAATTTCACAACTTTTTTGAAAAAATAGTATTTAGACGGGTTATAAGGTTATATCCCATTTATGATATTTTTGTATATATTAAAAAAAAAAAAAAAAAAAAATATAAATAAATTAATAAATAAATTAATTATTATAATAATAAAATATACTAATCAAACAATATTACAATCATTAATCATCATGATGAAATTAAAAAATTATTTAGAAAATGAAAAAATTAATACAATTAGCAAAAAGATTCAAAATAAATTTGGAGAACTCAGTATGAATGGCGCATCAAACTCGCCTACACAGCCACATAAAGATAGAAATTTTAAATTAACATTTGGAAATCAAATATTTATACCACCACCATTACCAGTATTCGAACCAAATCCAAATTTATTTAAATCAATAGAGCAGACAGAGTACAGCGAAAATCCATTTTCATTTTATTATGAGGAGTTTCAAGAGGATTTCCCCCAACCAAATTTAACAGTATCGAGCGAATCAATTCCAAACATAACACCAGAGCCAACAGAAGGTTTACATCCATATGGATTTGGGTATGAATCTTATTCTCAAAGAAGAAATAACTATTCACAATTAGCAGATACCAAACCGCACTTTCTTCGTGCTTCAAGCGAGAATCCAATTAGACCCTATGCATCTATACCTGCAAATCAGCGTTGTTTAAGCAAGAGCGAGGTAATGCAGTGTTTGCAACCATCGCAAGTAGTTTACATATGTGTTACAGATACATCATTTACAAGTCGTGAAAAAAGAGCATTCATGAAAAAACTCGGACAATTCAGCAATTTAGAGACTTTAATTTTAAAGAGTTGTGGTATTAATGCATTTGCAAATGGTACAAGATTCCCACAATTAAGATTTTGCGATCTTTCAAACAATTCAATTCGTAATTCATCTGGTCTTAAAAAGTTAACAAAGTATTCATTAAAGTTGGAGGTACTCAATTTATCGGGAAATCCATTTGCTGCAGCTTCAGAGGTAGAAAATAAACAACGTCAAAATAGATTATGTTCTCAATTAACCCAATTAGAAAATATATCCAACAAATTAATACCTGTAGATGATCGTATTACCGCTATTAATTTACATGGTCCAACTAGTAGAAAACAAAATATTGACAAGATAAGATGGGAATTAAATTTAGATAACGTTCCAGAGATTCGTGCTATGAGACCGATTGCTAGTGGATGGCAACCTGAAGCAATATTACAACTCAACCTTAGTGGGTGTCAATTACGTTATTTCAACGTTGGTCATTTTGTCAATTTAAATTCTTTAGATTTATCAGCAAATGGTATTGTCGATATTACAACCAGTGGAATGGAAAAATGTACCTATTTACAATTTGTTAATCTTTCATCGAATCAGATATCAAGAGTAGAAAGTGTTTATTTATTTGAATTCACACCATCCATTCGTTGTGTTCATTTGCATGGCAACCCATTCTTTTTAAACAGCTATCGTAAAGAAATCATCTACAGAACAAGAGATTGTATTGGCACCAATAGATCATTAGGTATTCAACAGATCGATCACGAAATGGTCTCTATCGAAGAAAAAGTCTCAGTAATTAGCCAATTCGAATCAAATAAAAAAACATTGGAAGAAGCTCAATTGATTGCAAATGATTATCGTTGGAAACTATTGATAATAGAGCGTTATGGTCATAAACAATTACAAAACATACCAAACTTTTTCCATCACTTCAAGACTTTGGCTTTCCCAAAGAGCTCCCTTATAGGTGTCGAAGTCTCATCTTTTGCAAATGTCGAACTCATTGATTTCAGCCAAAATGATCTCATTTCGTTCACCGGTTTAAATCAATTGTATAAATTACGTATATTATATCTTCAAGAGAATCCGCGTTTAGATACTACATCTGTAATCAAGCAATTGTCACAATTAGAAAATTTGGAAGCAATTAATTTCTCGGTCACTGTCGATGCAAATCATGTACGTTCACCTAGTAAAGCCAGAGCTTATCGTGACCAATTATTGGCTGCAGTCATACCCAAGAATCGTAAATTTTCATTATTAGATAACACAAGCATTGGCCATTCAGAACGTGTTCAAGCATACACCAATGCAGGATATTCAGCAGATTTGGTAGAGAAATATAAATTCTTTTTAGCATTAACAGTAAATTGCACATTACCATTCAATCGTGGTTTATATCCTGATCAAGTCGAAATCGGTCAACAATACAATCCAATGGAAATCATATCACTTCGTAGATTAAGAGATTGGAGTTTATCATCAGATGCAATAAATTTCCAATATTTCCAAAATATTGAAGAGATCGATTTAACCAATAATAGACTTACCGATATCACCAACATTGGTCTTCAATCATTAAACAAACTCACAAAGCTTTGTGTTATCAATAACCAAATTTCAACACCATTACCAGTTATCGCCCATATTTTGGATCATTTAACTAGTTTAGAAATATTTGCAATTCGTGGAAATCCAATAATGATGAGCCCATCAGATCGTCTTCAATTGATTGGCCATATGTCAACAATGAAATCACCAAGTAATGATCAACATCTTAAAGTATTAGATACTGAAATTACAATTTTCGATAAAGTTGAAGGTTGGAAATTAGTTGGTGCCTCTTTACGTGATGCAGAGCTTTTAAAACTTTCATTCATTGTAAACTTTAAATCTCTTGATCTCTATGACCATCAAATGTTAAACTTGGAGCTCTGTGACTGTGCATTAGAATACTTGGATGTAACACCATTTGTAAACCTCAAAACACTATTAATCCCAAATAACCGTTTCAGAAATATCAGTAATATTGTTGGTCTCGAAAACCTTAAGGAACTCTTCGCTTTGGATCTAAGAAACAACGAATTAAATTCTATGAACGATATTAAAAATGTACTTTTACAAATCCCAAATCTTCGTGTTATAGGTCTTATTGGTAATCCACTCTCTAAATTAGCAACAGCTCCATCAGCAACTTACAATTACCGTCCTAAATTCCTTTCACTCGTATCACCAATTTATCAAAGTCATGGGTACCCATTATCCATTTTAGATTCAACCGAAATTACATGTGATGAACTTTTGGAAGCTGCAACTCAATCAATGCCAAGTGGTCATAGCGATTATAAAAAAGAGCAACTCTTTAGTATATCATTACTTCGTAAATCATTCTCACCAGACTACACAAATCTCACCGAATTGGATCTTTCCTATTGCTCATTAACTTATCTAAACTTTAAGCTTTTACCCAGTTTAATAATTTTATCATTATCAGATAATTCAATTTCGGATTCAAATATCAAAGATTCAGGTCTTCAAACATTACAAAATCTTAGAGCTTTAGATATAAGAAATAACAAATTAAAGAAATTAAGTATATTTTGTAAAGTTTTTGATTTATTATCAATCGAAGTAAGTAAAATTATTATTATTTTAAAAAAAAATAAAATTATTAACTAATTTCTTATTTTCCTTAGACTTTATTCATTGATGAAAATCCTTGTTTCGAAAAAGATACACAAAAAGAAAGAGTTAGATTTTTCAAAAAATTAACCAATTCAAGAATATTAACAACCTTTAAATATATGAATGGAGTTCAAGTTACACCAATCGATACAGTACAATTCTCAAAAAAGAAAAAATAATAATATAGTAACAGGATAATGCAGGTGTCATTTATATAGAAAAAATAGTGTATATTTGTATAAAAAAAAACAAATAAATAAATAATATTAATTTATGATGTAAATAAAGAAAGAAACCTTTAAAATACTAAAAAAAAAAAGTGTTATTTGTTTATAAATTTTTATTTGATTATTTATTTTAATTTAAAAAAAATAATTGGTTAGAAATTTTTTAGTTTGTGAAATCTGTTGAGGATGCAGCTTCCTGATAATATAAATAAAGTTTTTATTAGTGTATTGTTTATTAGTATTTTTTTTATTTAATTTTTATTATTTTTTATTTATATATTTACTTACATTGTTTAATTTAATATCATTTTGAATGGATTCAATTTTAAGATAGGCATATTTAATTGAATCTGGACCTAAAAAGAGGTGAACTGTTGGGTTTTCAGATAAAGCATGATCAATGATAACTTTGCTACCTTTTTCGGGGTCACCAGCTTGATTACCATTAATTTGATTTGCATGTAAATCTTGAACTTGTCTAACAGCTGTGTATTCATTAATTGGATTTAATGGAATGGAAACTGAACCTTTTTCAAAGAATGATGTTCTAAAATAACCGGGTTTTACAGATGAAACATGAATACCAAATTCCTTTAAATCTGCATTCAAACCCTCGGTTAAACCCTCTAAAGCAAACTTTGTGGATGAATAAATACTGAATGCTGGTGAAGCTCCACTATAACCTGCAATACTACTAATATTAATAATTCTTGGACCATTTGCAAAGAACTATAAAAATAATTAATATTAGGGAATACTCTTTGTATTTAATATATAAATTTACTTACTTTGTTTTTACGAAGATAAGGGATAGCATGACGAATTACAGAGATAACACCAAACAAGTTACATTCATAGTTATCTCTGACTTCTTTATCACTTAATTCTTCAATGGTACCACATTGAACATATCCAGCATTATTAATGATAACATCAATACGAGAAAATTTAGAAATGGTATGTTCAATTGATTTTTTAACAGATTCATCAGATGTAAGATCTACTTGTAATGCTATAAAGTTTTCTTCTGTGATAAGTTTACTGTTTACAGCTATTTAAAAGTTAATGTTAGCTTTTATTTGAATTTAGAGATAAAGATAAATTAAAATAATTACCTTTAATTAATTGCTCTTTTGTTCTTGAAGTTGCAGCAACATTAAAACCTCTTTCAAGTAATTGGTTGGTTAAAGATAATCCAAAGCCTTTTGAAGCACCAGTAACGTAAAATACTTTTTGATCTTTTTGATACATTTTTGACAATATACGAATAATAATATATTATTTATTATTTTTTTTAAAATAAATAAAAATACTTTTTTATTTATACTTTTTTTTTTTTTTTTTTTTTTTTTATTTTATTATTTTTATAATTATTTTTTATAATTATTTTTTTTTTTTTTAAAAAAAATCAATTTAAAATACCAAGGGTTTGGCTTATATCTTTTCATATTTTAAAGATAGTTCCAAAGAATATATCCCATATTAAAATATAAATTGGTTGTCTAAAAAATATTGGGAAAAAAATGGGAAGAAACCATGGGCAAAATAAAAATAAAATTTTTTTTTTAAAAATAAAAAAAAAAAATTGGATAAAAAAATTTCCCAAAATGGTTTAATTTGATGCCATTTTACCTGTCACAATTTTTTTTAAATATTAATTTAAATATTATATTTTTTTTTTCATATTGATTAAAAAAAAAGAAAAATATATTTTTTTTAAAATATAAAATAAATAAAAGATATCCATTTTAATTTATCTATTTGATGGCCTTTAAACTTTACCTTTAAAACTATTTTATAAATTTTTTTGAGTTTATGCATAAACTATAAATTACTTTAATTAATTATTTTTTTAATTTTAATTTTTTTCTTTTTTTTTGGATTTAAAGCCACATTTTTTTATTTTTAATCTAAAATATTATTATTTTATTTGTTATTTTTAAATTTTTTTTGGAATTACTAAAAAAAAGAAAAAAAAAACATATAAAATTAAAATTTTTTTATGTTTTTATAAATAAGGGATAAAAAGTATTATTTGGTTCTGAAGTTTGTTTGGGTATCGTTTCTACTTATTATTAATGCATTTTATTAAAAAATGTTATAAAGTGCAACATGCACAACTAAGGCATGAGGTGACCAACTTAGCAAAAGGGAGAATTCTTAATTTTTACTATTAATTTGAACTCCTACTTAATATATTTAAACCTTATGGGGGTCATAATCAACAAATGTAATGAATCGACAGTCTATATCTTTAAGTAAAAATGTATTTTATAACTGCTTTTTAATAACTGCCAATTCCAGTATTTTGTAACTGCTTTTTAAATAATAACTACCAATGCCAGTATTTCAACTACTTAAGAATTAGCTTCTAGAACTAATATCATTCAGTATAAATACATCAAGTCCTCAGTCTAAAACTTAAGAGTTTCTTAGTTAGTTTATTTTAGTTAGTTATATATATATATGTTTAAACAAGTAATAAAGATAAATAATAAATAAAGTATATTTCAGTGTTCTCATAATTGTTTTAAGTGTTTTTAAGTAATTTAAGTGTTTTAGTGTTTATTATTTAGTTTGTGTTAATATATTTTATTGCGTCTCCATAAGTGTTTATTTTAGAGTTTACTATATTTTCGTTAAGTATTTTAGTTGTGTAACTTAGTCATAATCATATACCTTTTCATTACACAAAAAATATAAAAAAGGGAAATTAGTTAAGTGGTATAATGCTACCTTTGGGTGGTAGCGTCCTGAGTTCGATTCTCGGATTTCCCCACTAAATTTTTTTATTTTTTATTTTTTTTAAAAAAATAGGACTTCATCTTTTGCCACGAAATTAGTGACTACAGCCCACCGCTCCAGGTTTTCTTTTCCTCTTCACTTTTCTTGGATACCAGTACAATAACCAAGATTTTTTAAAAAAAAAAAAAAAAAAAAAAAAAACAATAACCACTATACTTTAGTGTTAACATCTTATAAAATCAAATGGTTGTTTGATAGTTGATTTAATATCCTAGATTTTGCTTTCAATACCAAACTTAAAATAGGGACTACTAAGTATTTTCCTCATCTAATATTATTCAATGTTCTACCATATTTACATGGCCAGAGAAAATTTGATAGATTAATGTTAATAAAATATTTGATTAGATTCAAAAATTTCATAAGAGTAAACTTGATTAATTCATTTTAAGTTGGTTTAATAAAAGCTAAATCCTTGTTATTATTAATACCATTTTATTTCTATATTCAAGTTAAATATTGTTATTATTACTAAAATATTGAATGTTTTGATTCTTTATTCTAGTAAAATATATTATTATTTTTTTTTTTTTTTTTTTTAAAATTTACTACTGATTAACTTAATTTATTTCTATCCTTTATCAATTATAATTATTATAAACTTAAAAATTATATTTGTTATTAATTTAAGTTAATGCTTTAAAATTTCTATTTTACTTGTACAGTTAGTTGCATAAATTTTGCAACACACATATTATTTTTGCAATTTATATAATAAAACTTTATGGTTTAAATTTTGGATTTTCGGAGTAACATAAATAAAAATCATTTAATCTATACTTAAATAAAATATATTTAAAAGGTTGTAAGAAAAAAAAAATAATATTTTTTTTTATTTTTTTTTTATTATTATTATTTCTATGTTGCAAAATTTTAGAATAAAGATTTTGAGTAAAGGTTTTTTTGAAATTTTTTTATAAAAAAATTTGTAGTTATTATAGTTTATTAATATTTAGTGAATTCACCTCTATTTTGAATTATTTTATTTATTCTGGTTGAAATTGATTCATTTAATTTATTTAAAATTGTATTGTGTGATGTAAAAAAAAAATATAAATAAAAAAATTTGAAAGAAATGGTTATTGGCATCATATAAAGTAATTGGGTTACACCTTGGTTAATGTAATATTGGGCTTGGTTGCTGTGATAATAATTTTTCTAAAATAAAAATAATAATAAAAACAATATTAATAAATAGTTTAATTAGTTACTAAAAATAAATATATTTACCTATTTTTTATTATTGGTTTTTGGTACTGGGCCATTAGATGAATATGATACACCTTTTTTATCACATAAATATATATAATTACCTGTTTGTTGGGTTCGCTTGAATTTTAATTAATACTTTTTCTATTGATCATATAAAATTATTATTTTTTTTCAATTACAAAAATAAAAAAAAAAAAATAAAAAAGGGTTTTTTTTCATAATAATTATATTTTATTTCTTATTGAACTTCTAAAGTATAACAATTGTTTTTTTATTTTTTTAAAATTTAATAAATTATAATTTTTAAATTTTAATTTTTAAATTTTAATTTTTTTTTTTTTAAAAATTTATTTAAATTTTTTTTTTTCTTCATACTCACACCCACACATTTTTTTAGAGCCAATTTTTCACAACCATATTACATTAAAAAAAAAAAAAAGTAAAAATGATTTTTTCAATAGCCGGAGCTATCTTCCATTATTTATTTTTATTTTTTATCTCCAAATACTTCACCAATACCAACAATAACCCACCACAATCACCTCAATCAACACAATCACCACAATCATCCCCACAATCTCCACAATCCCCACAATCCCCACAATCCCCACAATCCCCACAATCAACACAATCAACACAATCAACACAATCAACACAATCAACACAACCAACACAACCAAAACGTACTGCATCAATCCCTAGCTATAGAAATCTATTTCAAGATATGGATGCCTACGAAAAACAACAACAAGAACAAGATGAACAACCAGAGCCACAATCACAACAACCACAGCCACAAACAAAACGTTCTGCATCAATCCCAAATTATAAAAAGCTATTTCAGGATATGGATGCATTTGAAAAACTACAGCAAGAACAAGAACAAGAACAAGAACAACAACAACAGCAACCATGTTCTCATTCAACTGCACAATCAACCAGCTACCCAAATTTAAATAAAACCCACTCCCGTTATACTGCTGGTAGTGTTTCATCAACCAATCAACCACAACAACCACAACAAATCCACCAAAACTCACAATCAAACAGCTATCCTAGTTTTAATAGAGCCCAATCACGTTATACTACAGATAGTGTTCCATCAACCAGTCAAAAACAAAACTATCAACCACACTCATATCCAAACCCAAACCCAAACTCAAACCCAAACCCAAGCACAAACCCAAACCCAAACCCACAATCACAACATAACCCATCAAGTGCACATTCTGTAAGCAACCCAACATTTAATAGAGAACAATCACGTTATAATGTTGCAGGTAATTCTAGATCCAACAATTCACCACAACAATGCCCACAACAACCATTTAAACCATCAAGGGCAGAATCGAATTACCCAGCATTTAATAGTGCACACTCAAGTTTCAAAACTACAGACGGACCAACACCAGTAAATACACCAACAACCAACCAACAACAAAGAGCACACAAATCATCAGACTATCCATCAGTCAATAGAGAACAATCCCGTTACAAGTGTGCAAGTTCCCCATCAAATATTCCAACTTTCAATTCTGCAAATAATGAAAAATTAAATAGGGAAAAGGCAGAAAAAGAACGTATTGAAAGATTGGAAAAAGAAAAGTTGGAAAAGGAAAGAGTCCGTGAAGAAAAGGAACGTGTAGAAAAAGAGAAATTAGAGAAAGAAAGATTAGAAAATGAAAGATTAGAAAATGAAAGATTAGAAAAAAAAAAAAAAGAAAGGGAGCGTTTAGAAAAAGAAGAGGTCGACGAATGCTGTATTTGCTATATCAAATTAAACTCAAGCAATACCACCTCGATAGATTGCTCTCATAAATTTTGCTATGGATGCATCAGTGAATGGTCCAAATTAGAAGAAACTTGCCCATTGTGCAGAAAAATTTATTTTTATTTTCATGTAAGTAATTCATACATTAATATTTATATATAATAAAAAATATTCATTAATATTAATTTATTTTATTATTTAATTGCAGAGAGAGGGTCGTATTCCAAGAGAAGTCAAATTAAATTTAATACTTCAAAAATATAGTTCAGAAAATAATTCTCAAAATAATTCCGAAGATGAGTCCAAAGTTAAGTCCGAAGATGAGTCTGAAAATGAATTAGAAGATAATTACGATGATCATTCCATTTATGAATCAGATTTCGAATCAGATTTCGAATCAGATGATCATATCAATAATGAATCTGATTCCGTTTCAGATGATCATATCAATAATGATTTCTCTTCTGGTAATAATGAAGAATTAGTTGACCCAATGGATCTCGATTAATCATGAAATCGAAGGCGATGAGATTAATAACTAAATCGCTCCATTCTTTGTTTCAATTAATGAACTCGATGGAGATAAAATTATTAATTAAATCGTTTTATTCAAAAATTTCATTAAAGTCGATTACATCAGAAATCATCACCATATAGTTTAAATCTTTTGAAAAAACCTCGAACATCAATAAAAAGCAAAATATTAAGGTAAAAATAATGATATCATTATTATAATTATAATTATATTAAATATAAAAGAAACTAATATTTAATTTTTATATCTTTATAGTTAAGTTCTAATCAATTCGTTTTGTCTTAAGTCTCTAATCAAATATAGGGTTTATGTTTAATAAATAGTAAACACAAAGTGCACCATTATCATAAGGATGACCATCTACATCAACCATTATCACATATTTCTTTTGAAAGCTCGCAAACATTTATTTAAATCACCACCACCACCTCAGTACTTAAATTGAACCACCTCACAAATCACACTCAAAGTTACAATCCAGTAGTATAGCCACAAACACAAGTTCAAGTTCTACACAACACACCAAAAACACATCACCACCTCAATTACTCAGAACATGTCTTAGTGCCAGTAATACAATATCAATCAAAATTTCATTATATTTTTAAAAGTTCAATTCACTGGTCATTTAGCTCATTGTTCATTGTTTATACCGATTCAAAGTAGAAATTATCTGTAAACCAATTATAAATTTCCAAAACTTTCATTGCTCCACCTAATCCGCTTACCCAAAGTTCTATGCACCAGAAATATTGGTGAAAAAGGTGAAACTTAGTTCAAACCATGTTAATACTTAATCAAGAGAAGGTAAAGAACACCCAGTGATAAAACTTTGATATTAAAGATATTTTCATAGAAATATATAAATAAATAATTTTTTCTAATTGTAAATAAATTAATTTTTAAAAAAATAAAATTTAAATTTCACCTATTTTTATACACATTTAATCTTAATAATGATTTGTATAATTAAATTAAAATTTTTATTTAACTTACAATTACACATTTTTTCACCATTTATTTTTAATAATAAACATCAATCACTTTTAAGTATATTTTATTTTTATTTTTTAATTATTTTCAACACTAATATAACTTTCTTTCTAAACAATGAGTTAACACCATCTGCTACATTCAATATATTGGTTTCTAAGTGGGTGCCATATTAGCAACTCTTATAGTAATTTTACTAGTAATTGCATTTATTGATGTACCACCTATTTTTGTATTTCTTGGGCATGTTTCTATGAAAAATAAATTGTAATGACTATAGTTTTAAAATTTAAAAGTTCTATATTTAATTTTAAATAAATTCATTAAAAAAAACAATTCTAAATTATATATTATAGATATAATATTATAGATAAATTTTTTTATTATATTTATTATTTATTAAAAATATAGTAATAAAGTTCAAACTGATGAATGTTGGTAAAATAAAAGGTATAAAACACACACACACATCTAAACACTCATTCATTTAAGTGAAACAACACTCTTAATAATTGGAGACACAAAAAAAAATAAAAAAAAAATTTTATCATGCATTTCTCTATTTTTTTTTAAAAAAATTGGTGATAGTTAGTGGTGTTTTTCTTTTGTACATCACACTCACACACTCACACAATTTAAGATCATTAAGATAACTAAATAATTCATAATAAGATAACAATTTAATTATTATAATATTTGAAAAAAAAAAAACTTAAATTATTAAAAACTAAAAATAACTTTTTTTAAAATCACAATGTAAAAACACACAATCACACACCAACAAATAAAAATAATTCACACACATTAACACACAATTATAAAAAAAAAAAATTTTTTATCCACCCAATTTTTTTTTTTTTTTAATTTAAAAACCAAGTTTTTTTTTTTTTTTACTATCATTAATTAAATAAAAAGGAATGGATAGCAATAGTAATAATAGAAAAATTATAATAAAAAATATAATTAATAATGTTATAAATAATGTTATAGATAATAGAAATAATAATAATAATTCTAATAATAATTCCAATGGTGAATTTAAAATATTACCAATGAGCCATACGGAAGTTGTATTTTGGAAAGTTTTTAAAAATTGTTATCTAAAAAAAAATATATTTTCATTTTTCATTTTTAAAGATATCTTTAGATATGATGATATTTATTTTGTCCAAGATATAGTTCTTTATAAAAATGCAGAAGAAATATACAAGGATAAAGTCAAAAGTGGAGCAGTTTTAAATTTCAGTGGAAAGCCCGTTTTGGAAAAGGAAAGAGTTCCACCCATATCTAATATTTATAAAACCATCAATAAAAATACTAAAGAGAATAAAATGTTTTACCAGATGTTGTTTACCAAGTACCCAGAGGCAAATTCATTTTATGGAGACTCATTACAGCAGATAATAAATGAAAAAAACTATGTTGCCTTTAAGCAGTACAGAAAAATGTTTCCAATCTCGTCAGAATTTAGAGAATCACTACCTGACATTAAAGAAATAAATTGTTTTGAAAATTATATTATGTGTAAGTTGTTATATCCTAACTTTGATTATAAAAATAAAATATCAGTTAGTATATTTAAAGACAACCAAGGAAATTCCATTACATTTAAAAAGTTACTCCAAATGTGTTGTATGGAAGAAGATGAACAACTAATCAACTGTTCAAAAAAACTTTTATCGTTTCCTATTAGCCATTTGTTCCGAACCCACCGTCTATTGGTTTTAGAATACATTCACTTATTTTATAGTTTAACTAATAACCCTCTCCCACCAGATTGTAATTCAATATTTTTCAATAATAAAGAAGAAGTTGTAAATAACAAAAACAGTACCAACAACAATAACAATAACATTAACAACAACAATAACAATAACAATAACAACAACAATAACTATTACAATAACAATAACAATAACAATAACAATAACAATAACAATAACAACAACAATAACAACAACAATAACAACAACAATAACTATTACCATTACCATTACAATAACAATAACAATAACAATAACAATAACAATAACAATAATATCAGTATTAATAATAATAATAATAATAATATTAGTATAACTAATGACTCTCTCCCACCATATTGTAATTCATTACATTACAATAATAAAGAAGAATTTGTAAATAATAGAAAAAGTAACATGAAAAAAAAAATCAGAAACCTTAAATACCTTAATAATAATTTTATTAGAACTGACTATATCCTACCATGTTATAATACATTACTTTATTGTAATAAAGAAGAACTTTTACAAAACAAAACCTGCTACGACAACATCAACAACAATAATATCAGTGCTGATTATGATAATAATATTTATAATAATTCTCCCTTTTTGTCTATAAAAAAATTCTATAATAATTCATTTAGTAGTTTAAAAAAATTCGAAGTGAATGATTTTGTAGACAGATATGAAGCATTTTATTTAGTCGCTAATATAAAGTATGAAAAAATTGAAATGCATTGTTCTGTTTATATCAATTATTTGTATTTCTTTGGTTACAAAGAAGATCTTTACAGGATAACCTATATGTACCCAAATTCTCTTGGCCCCCATACACGTGAATACATATACTCTGATATTATTCATCAATTTGTAAACACCATTGTCAAAAATTCAACACTTCCAGACTATAATTCAATGGCCTCTGCAAAACAAATTTTATTTTGTTTTAAAATTATAAACAAAATTTGCAAATACAATTTTTATCACACACTAAAATCGCTTGCATCAAATTACCATCACCTATTATTCAATTCACAACAAGGTTGGTACAATGACAAAAAAGTAAAGACATTCATCACCACAGCAATTCAAAGTGAAAATTCAATAATTGCTGAACTTTTACTCGATTTCACCAAGATGGATAAATATACTTTTAAAAATATTTTATTCAACAAACAATCATGGGAATCAACACATGAAAAAGTCAGATTTAACAATCTTTTAAAAAATTACAAATTTAAAGGTATTTTTGATTAAATAAATATATTTTATAGTTTTTAAAAAATATTGAGATCAATTGATCTTTAAAGTCTTAAATTTCTTTTTATTATAATTTCATTTTTTTTCAATTTTTCCCCCTATTTTTTTTAAATTTTAAAATTTTTTTAAAATTTTTTCATTTTTTTAATTTTAATTTTTTTTAATGACATTTAAGTAAATAAATATATATTTATAAAGTATATAAAAAGTTTTATAGTTTTATAGTTTTATAAATTGTTGTAATATTGAGGTTAGTATTTAAATTACATTATTATATTTTTATTATGACGATCTTTTTAACAATTATTTAAATAAGATGGTTGAAAATTGCAATAATAAAGGAATAATAGATTATTACATTATACCAAGGAATAATGTTAATCACGAGGTTATTAGAATAATAGCCTCCAATGCAAATATAGAGCCACATGACTATTTAGAAAGAAATGAAAATATTATAAAGGTTTCAAACATAGATGGTTATAACTGCGATCAATCAAACTGGGAAAAAGAATATAACAATGATTGGAGGAATAAATTAAATAGTTTAATAAATCACGATGTTCAATATATAGAGAATAAACTAAAAGATTATATAAATGATTCAAAGATTAAACTTAGTATTTTTAAGAATCAATCAAGTAAAGGATTTAGTAGTGGCAATACCAATACTGATTTTGGTTATAAAGAGGCTTTGAAGAATTTTACACAACAGCTTGATTACTATAATTTAGAAAGAGTCTATAATAAATCAAATCCTTTGGGTATCGAAAGTTGGTTTTCTTTAGCCAGATGCGACATCAATGAATCAAAATCATCAAACGAATATAGGGACGAAGGCGGTTTACCATTAGATTCAAATTTATTTGAAGGTTATTCCGAAAGATTATCTTGTTTTTCACAATCCAATCATATATTATTGTTCCCAAAACCAATAAATAATAGTGATAATGATAATGATAGTAATAGTACCAATAGTCAACAACAACAAGAAAATAATAATAACGAAGAATTTAATTCAAATAGTTTCAATCAAATTTTAATAGAGTTAGTAAGAGGTATTTACCAGTATAATAGTTTACCAATATTTTCTTTACATTTAAATAATGATTGCAGTATGGATCCAGTTGTTCACCCAGCATACAGAAATACATTAGTAGGAAAGGTTTTATTTGCATTGGACTATTATATGAAGGGGTTTCTTAATGGTGGCTTCATATCTAGCGATTATATAACCAACTATTACGATATAAAACAACCAGAAGATCAAGATGAGAATGCCATTAAATCAAAAATAAGAAACTTAAAAAGAAATATTATTGACATCAAAGAAGAGATAGAATCTGGTGAATGGATGCACTTAAAAGATAAATTCGAATACAAGTCACTTAGAGAAAGATCTTTCGAGCTGGGTTTAGAAGGAAAAGGTAACTTTAATGAAGTTCAAGCGGAAATAAGGCAACTTCATGGTATAGACGAAGATCCTACTATTATTGCATTACAAAAGGCATGGGATAATTTAAATAAACCTGAAAATGGAGGGATAAAATTTAATACAACTTTTAGAGTTATAGCAAAAGAGAATTCATGTCAAATGGAGGATGGTATATGGGTAGTTGATGGTGGTTTTACTGTTACATATATTATTGAACCAACTAAACCATATCAAGAATACATTGATGCTTATAAATCAGTATTCCATGGCCAAACACCAAAAGAATATCAATTACAAGAACAAGTTTATAGAGAAACTGCCGATGCGATATCAAATCAAATGCCTCTATTACCACCTTGTCGTAAATACTTTGAAATGTTCAAACAAATTTCATTTTTATCTTCATATCTATCAACTCTAAAATCATCTGGACAAATACCAAATATTTCTCAAATTAAGGAATCATTAAATGATATAGTTAACTTTAAAACTCCATTAAAAATACCACCTTTACCAGTTAGATTTTATAAAACTATTCAAATATCATTAACAATTGATGATATTTTAAGTTTTATTAACACCAATTATAATCCAAATAATAATAATAATAATGAAAATTTAGAAATCTTAGTGTATGAGCAATTAAAAAGTTATTTAGAATTGGTTTCAAGTTATGATAATATTCAATTTATTAATACAAGTAAAGAACAAGAAGAAATGATCAAAACTAAGAAATTAGAATTAAAGCAAACAATTTCACGAGTAATTCACAAAATGATTGAAATTAAATATGAACACCCAATAAGATTTAAAAGTATCAGTGATCAGTTAAATATATTATCAAATAATTTTTTAAATTTTTTAGAAATGCACGTGGATATTGTTTTGGTCCAACAGTTCTCTGATTTAGTCAGTATTATGGGGTCATTTATTGAAGTGTTGGAACAAAATAATCAAAAAGGATCAGACTATGGTGCACCTTGGCCTGTTTTTCAAGATATTGTTAACGAAGAAGATTTATTATCTGATTCAGACACAGCAAGTGAAACCTATCTCCAAAAGATGGAAAAGGTTTCAGATTTCCGTGACGAATGTATCAGATTAAATATCAGCCTCGATGATCTGAAAAAAAGTTGTATGGAAATCATAGATTCTTGCAAAATCTTTTTATTTTCCGATAATTGTAGAGGTTGTAATGGTGATTTAGAATTGCATAAGAATAACCTTTTTAGTCAAGAAGACTCACTCTGCACAATTGACTCACTCAAATGTTTTAAAAAATTTCTCAATATGTGTAAAGATCGGCTAGAAGAAAAGAAAAGAACACAAGGTTGGTTTTCCTCTATATTCAGTAATCCAGAAAAAGAAATAGCTGAAATAGATCAAACTTTATCCACATTACAAATTTCAAATATTAATCAGTACTCCAGTGTAGTAATCAGTTATTTAGAAGAGACTTTTGGAAATGTAGAAGACCTTGTCTCTTCACTCAAAGAATCAACTATTGATTTTTTTGAAAATCATTTATCGCATTTTACAAAAAAACTATTAAAATTAATAAAAGACTCAAGCGGAACCCTCGATATTATTCAATGGCTAACCCAAGGCCGTTCTTCATCGATCCAGTCCAAATTAAATAGCACATCAACATCAAATTTATTAAACATTAGTTTATTACCTTTATCAAAAATAGAAATTGCAGATTCTACTTATTATTCAAAAGAAGGGGAATACCAAAAGATTTGGGGTGGCTGTTTTTTCGATTTTACAACATTAATAATTAAACCAATTAAGGAACTATCATCTGATGGTGGCTGTTTCACAGTGGAATCAATTAAGGATACTTTTGAGGGACATTTTAACAAATGGATTAGTTTAGAAAATGAACAGTTAATGGGTATTCAAATTAATATTTTACCAAGTGACTCTATTACACAACAATTCAATCAAATTAGTTATTATTCGGTACCACCAATAGTTAATGTATTTTACCAATTTATAAATGATGAGGAATTGCTTTTAGAATATATAAATAGTAAGTCCAGTAACGATTTAATGGAGCTTGACAGCTATAGCAATTCACTGTTACATCTCTCTGCATCTGTTGGTAATACATTGGTTTTAAAATCATTGATTTCAAAGATTGGTATTGAACATATAAATGATAGAAATGACTTTGGCTATACTCCTCTATCAAGTGCAGCTATTATGGGTCAAGTAGAATCAGTTAAAGTTCTATTGGAACAAAATGAAACCAATATAAATAGTATCAGTAATAATGGCTTCACCGCATTACATATATCAATTTTAGAAGGAAATTCCCAAGTCTCAAGATTAATAATCGAGAACTCTAAAACTAACTTAAACAAACAAATAAATGGAAACACACCGCTACATTTAGCATTATTAAGTAATCAAGTAGATTTAGCCATTGAACTCGTTAATAAAGGTGCATCCCCATTTATATCAAGGCAGTTTGATGGGTTTACCCCGATCGAGGTTGCAGTTTCTTTGGGCCAATTAAAATTTATTAAACACATCGGCTACCAATCATTAGAACCAAACTCTATATTATTAGCATATCAAACTACTTTAATGCATATCGCAGCTCAAAATGGATCTTTAAAAATATGTGACTGGTTAATTAAAAATGGTTATTCAGCCTCAACTCAAAATCTGTATGGATATACTCCATTGATGGTGGCATTAGAAAATGGATATCCAGAAATAGCACATTTAATATTAGATCATCAGCCATTATTATCAAACTATAAAGAACAGTCTTCACTTAAAGAGGATTTCCATTACCAATGCACTAGTAAAACCTTTGGCTCATATACAAATTGTAAAAAGCAAACATCCGCAATGATATCAATATCAAAAGGTTATATAGATATAGCATGGGCCATTTTAAAACAAGGTAAAGAATCATGGGAATATATAGACAAAAATGGGCACAAGCTTTTAGACTACATCATTCTATATGGAGAACATTTACTATTGGATAGAGTACTCTCAAGTGAAATAATTCCATTAAGTACTACACTTTTACCATCTAAATCTATGTCACCCTCATCAACATATTTAGAATTCACCCTAAAGCAAAGAAATAATGAATTAGCAAATGTAATACTTAAACATAACCGTATCGATATAGATATACTTATGAAACAAGAGCAATCAATACTTTCACCAAAAAGACCTTTACACCAACCTTACACACTTTTACATTTAGCAGTAAGATCAAACCATACCAAACTAGTTTGTAAATGGATCGAAGAAACAGATATATTATCAAACAATCACGAACCAAAAGATATTATCAAAAATCTAGAAATTAAAACAGGCAATTCCCAACCTCGAAGCTTATTATCAATTGCAGCTGAAAGTGGTAGCTTGGAATCTTTACAACTATTACTATCATCAAATCTATACAAAAAAACAATTGAAGAAGACCCAAACGCAATCATTTGTCCAAATGGTATTCATTTATTATATTATGCATTAATTGGTAGAAGTAAAAAGACAATCGAATATTTAGTTAAAACTTGCTACATTGATC